TGTACAACTTCAGTGACAAAAATACAGTAAAAATATTGGATGAGATTCAGATTTGGTTCAGACGGATGCATATTCCAATAGTGCTTTGGGGCTCCAAGTAGATTAATTCCCTGTTTTACTAGGTCTTCTTCATACATTACCAGCTCAGCATAGTTTAGCCTGTGCCAAAATGTTCCTTCAATTTTAAATGGCTCTGTTACTATTATAATTTAATTGATTTGGTGGCATCATGCCAAAGACAAAGTGCTGTCATTTGCAGAAGTAAACAAAATGAAAAAATACTTCTCTCTTTGAACATTTTTCAATTAACTATAGTAGTTGTGGGAGTTTCTTGGTTGTTCTAGTGGCAGGAAACCCATCTAGAAATAAGGCAAGTGGGGCTTTGCAGTGTCCTTTAACTGTAAATCTTGCCTCTTACTGCATAGTAAAATGAAAACTTGAATATGAGTAGGATAACTTTGGTAACTTAATCCCATTTTATGATGGGTTTAAAGATATTTTGGCTCTTGCGTGGGTCAGCAAGAAAGAGAAATTCCTGAGGAACTGCGACTGAAAAAAAGGAGCTGTCAAAATAGGCTCAGAAAATCTAGGTGTATTTACCGTTGACTTAATAATGATTTAAATAATTTATTTTAATTGCTTGATTTGAAATCGCTCCATCTTTTCATAGCTTCACAACCCATATGTGCATCTTTCAGTCATAGTCTGACCTTTTCTATTCCAGCTATTTAATTAACACAGTGTAATATTCCGTGTGAATTATTCTTGTTTGCAGGATATGGTACCATTTAAATTTGTTAATGTAAAGGAGCAGTGCATTGTTGATAAACTGTTGGAAACCAAATTAGCTTTATCTTGCAGCTAGCTGATTGCATTATTTCACTCATGGGTATAATACTTCTCTAAATATGCTAATTTCACTCTTTTCTCTGTGTGGTGACATTTTTACTGTTCTCATTACTGACATTTGTAATATTTGGGGTGGGGAAATCTTTTCTTGCTTTAACCTCATTATAATGTAGCTAAAGAGATTTGAATATTATCAGATGAAGTGCACATATATTCAGGCAAGTGGAAAGGTTATTTTGTCTCCTGGCCCAGAAGTTTCATGCCTATAGCAGGACTTGCATGGACTTAATGGCGCCTAGATCCAAAATTGTGATACAGAAACCCATCCGCTTACTAATTGCCCAACCACAGTAGCGTACCCATTGGTTAGGTGCCTCCATTTCAAATGTAAAAATCTCTCAAGATGGTTGCATCTCTGTGTTCATTCCTATCTCTCCATGTCCAGCCTAAAACCTTCTGGAATGCATTTTAGGAGGAGTTGGTGGCCTGGAGCTCTGATAGACTAGTGGTGACAGATAAAAATTACATGTCTGAAGCTGTTACTGCTGCCAAAAGCTCATCCCATCCCTGAGGCAGGCCTGGCCGATCTGCTTATGAGCTGGTGCCTAGACTGTGCTGATTTAAGCCTGGCCTATTAAGATAAACTGAAGGATTTGACAGGTTTGTTACAACCTTGAGGCATTTGGAGAGTCTAATTTAGCTTAAACATACCTATCATGTAATGGTTGAGCTGAGCAGTCCGGGAGAATATCCCCACCATGGCGCAACCCCCAGTTCCTAGCGCATTAGGAAGTGCCATTTGCTCTCTCCACTCATCAGCTTTTTGACAGATTTGCTCTCCATGTGACTTTCTTCAGAGTGATTCGGTGAACTTAAGCATCCCCCTCTTTCTTACACCTCTCTCCCAACGATTCCTAACATCATGTACAATGATGTACTTTCTTGTGGCAATTCATATCTTGCAATCTGACAAGTAGCAATTGATTGTATTCCCTACAAAGCATAGAAAGCATTCTGGCACAAAATGGGCAGGACCTGAAATTCATTCAAAGATTCAAAAGTGTCATTTAGCCAATTATGAATATTCCTTCCAGTACCCAAAAGGAGACCTGTTTTCCAGGGATTTCCCTCAACTTCTAGACTTCAGCTGGAGTTGTGATAATGTCGTGTCAGAGCTTCCATAAACAGCACTAGTGTAGCAGGGAGCTGTAATGGTTCCCTTCTTTACACCCACTGTCTTGAACAACACCTTTGGAAGTGAGCCTGTGAGGTGTGAGCAAATCCTGTTCTTCCCTCATCAAGTTTTGACATCCCTTTTCTTTTAGTTACTTAGGAGCAGGTGGTTCAGGATCTGCTCTGTTTTGGGCTTGGTTTGGGCACCTTCTAGTCTGTGCATTCTGTACCTTTCAGCATCTTTTCTCACCTTTTTTTTTTGATAGGTAGACTTCCAGCTCTAACATCATACAATTATTTCCTTGTACTTCCAGTGGAAAGAGCTTTTACAGTGCTTCCTTTTTCTTTTTCTAGTATCAACAAGAAACAAAAATACAGACACATCTTCATCTTACGAAAGCTTATTCTTAAATTCAAATATCAGTGTTATCCAGTGGGCATTCATTTATACGTTTTGATTGCAGGCTGTGTATATCCACATAGCAAAGTGACCATTGTAGTGGAGATGATCCTAGGTTTATGGTGAGCCTGAGCCCATTGCAAGGTCCTTTAGGGACATGTGGGGTAGCTTCTTTTTCTTGTGCACTCTACCTTTGTGGTTGGCCAATGAAAGACATCTCACCAGATTCCCTGTAGACCATGCTGTAGGTTCTTTACTGTAGTTCTCAAAAGGAATATGCAAATGTCACACCTAACTTGGTCTTTGAGTACATTTAAAGCATTTTGTACTTCATTTCTGCTTGTTCTGCCATTCATCACCCCTGTAATGAAGAACATGTAGATGATGATTGTATCTTTTTTGAGGGGCAGGTGGAAGCTGCATGTCATTCATCCGAGCTAATTCTCATGGCTACTTCCCTACCTCACTTAGCCTTCAGGCTCAGTGTTTTAGGTATTTTAGGAGTGTTATGTTGGAGCTCCAGCCTCGACAGATTGTGGTCCCTATGTTCTTTCATTTTATTCAGGGTCACCATGTGCAAGTAGATGCAAACAACATCAGTAGAGTATTTGGCATCCTGTAGTTGCGTTAGGGAAAATCAGTTTCAAAGACTGAGGGTTTCCTGTCTTCCCAAAACCTGAGAATGATGGAAATGAACTGAGTCACATGAGGATGTTAGGCTTGAGTTGGGAATACAGGGTGAAAATCTCCACCTGTCTCCTTGGAGTAGAACTGCCTCGGTGTAGATCTCATTGTGATGCCAGCAAGAAGAGCTAGTCATATTGTCATATTGTTCTAGTACTGGTCTGTCCATTGTGTCTCTGGTGAATGTGTTTCTCATTTCTGATCAGACTTTTGTCATTGCTCTCCTTTTTTCCATTGAAGCAGCAAGGAATAACTTAATTATTGTTCTGATATATTTAATGATGTAGGCATTAGGGAGTTGGTTTCTATTGGCTTGGCTAGTCAGACTTGGCTGTCATACAGTAGGTATGCTGTGTGCTCTCCAAATGAGTCTTCTGAAGACCTCATTGTTTGCGTAGGTGTTTGGGATCAGATCCATATTGAAGACATAATATGCACAAAATGTTGTTTGTCTGTTTGGAGATGTAACTCTTGATCATGTATTTCTGTATAGAAAGAAGCAGCTAAATCGATTATTTCTGTGTCTGTGCTTTTCTGAACAGGGGCATATATGATTTAAGATTAAATTATTCTGTGCTTTGTGATCACAGACACAATGAAATTCTTGAGAGTAGATACGATAACAGAAGATTTTTATTTCTATTAGATTATTATTTCAACAAGAGCAGTGGTAAGGCAGTTTGGGTGTCTTGGTATAAAAGTGCTAATGTTCAGGGGGTTATCTTAAATTTGTAAGTGCTGGTGCTTTTGAAGACTGGATATAGAGAAGACATTACTGCTTCTGATACTGATATTGAATTAGTCAATGGTTGACATAGTGACATAAATGTTTAAAAGGAATCTGGAAATATTAAAACACCTCTACTGAAAGGACTTTTCCAGATTTACTAATAGGTTGACAAATACTGAATTTTGGTATATTTTGCGTATCACAAGAAGCTTCCAAGAGTCAAAGCAGCAGCACTGTTATGGTTTCTTCTGAAATGAAAGGTCACCCTCAGTCTCCAGAAAAGCAGGTGCAGCTGATTAGGACAAGAGTTCATGCACATCTGAGTGGAGATTTGGGCCCAGAGAGTCCTTGATCTTTTCTTATATTTAGCTCTTGGTGTTTACAGATAAAGAAACTTTGCAGGCAGTTGTTATTTGAAAAAGAAAAGAGAAAGAAAATCTCTGGAGGGAAGATGGTAAAGATATGTTGACACCACTAGCAGCTGCTTGTTGTATTATAAAGTTGTGAAAGATAAGCTTCTGTGTAACAAGGCTGTGCTTTTTCAGTAAAAACAGTTTCTTTTATGTTTTAATATTTATATTAAAAAACAGAACTAACAATTAAATGTTAAGGTTTAAAATTAAATTAGAAGAGTTTGGTAGTTCACATTTTGGTAATCTGTATTAGGACAAATGTATCCTTAACTCTACATTATGTCAAAGCAAGATTTTACATTCTTTATATGAACACCCAGATTCAAAACATAGACTGTTAACAGTTTTTCACAGGCAAATTCCATGTTGTTGCATGAGAACATTCATAAAGAGAAATTTCAACTTGAAACAAAAGTTAAGCTCACTCCTGCTTATTTTACCCATGGTGAAAGAAATGGAATGATGTAAACAGATGGGATAATGGCAATGCTTTCTGTTTAATATGCCTATAATAATGGCAATCCCTGAATCTAATACACTGATTGTGCATGTTGGTTATTGTGCATTTCAGAAACTGTTCTTGAGGTTCACATGGTAGGTCTCTCTCATTTCTTTCAATTCAATAATTAATGCAATTCAGAAATAGTTGTTTTATTCTTTTAAAGTATAATTCCATTCTGACAATTATGTCTCTAATTGTCTCAGTCATTAATCATAATTTGTATCCTATGTGGTATAATAGTGATCAGTCATGTATACTTCCATCATAACCCCTTTGTGGATCAAATTCAAAAGGCACAGTTGTATTATTGACTATTTATTACAATGGCTTATGGGAAAAAACCATATTTTTAGAATACTATTGACTATTTACTACAATTGCTTATGGGAAAATGGTGTATTTTAGAAGATTTAGATTCTTTTGTTGCTGTCACTTTGAAGTTCTTGTCAGTCAAGTTTGCAGGATAAGACAACAGTAGTCATACATGGTTACAGTTTCTGGCAGTAAATTTTATACAGTGCATTCATCAATGTACGAGTAGTGCATTCATATTTACTACTAACAAGGAATAGAAAAAGAGAAATAAACTTTACTTACAACATGAACAAACTTTTTTCTTAGAAATATAGATGTTAGTTCCCCGATGTGCCAGTTCCCTTACCTTCAATCATAATGTTATTAAATTTCCTATCTATTAGGAAATGTTGTGAGAAATGTGTATCAGTGACAGTGGGGAATTGGGAAGAAATGCCTTTACTACTAAATTTCTTCAGTAGCAAGTGGGTGTAATTTACACCCCAAACAGACAGAAAGGTGGAATTGTAGCAGCCTAGCTTAAGGAAGAACAGTCTTTCCTTTGAAGAAACTCTTTTATATCCTGATGGAAAATTTTGGTCAAAGACCGTATTTTTCTCCTTCAAAAGAAAATGAAATGCCATTTATCCGACAAGTTTCATTGTGTTTCATTTTGCTTTCAGCAATTTTGCCAATAAGAGGTATACAAAATTAATTGGAAATACATTCAGTATGACTTCTCTCACTTGCACATATCCTAATTTTCCTGGATTTGGGGGAGTGGGAGGGGAAGGGAGTATTTCAAATCGCAGGAGCTATAAGGACAAGGAGGGAAATGAAAGCCTTTCTTCTGCTAGAGGAGACCAGAGGTCATTCAACATCCAGTCAGCTGAAAACCAATGTGACTGCATCCTGAAAGTGCACTGCAGGATGGGAGGAGAAGAGACAACAGACAGAAGCTGGCCAGGGGTTCAGGAAGAGCTTTCTAGGAAGAGCCCGAGGGAATTTAGGGAGGAATTTCGTAAATGTATGCTTGAGATGGTATGCTGTCATTTAGAGCAGGGTTGGGAAGTCCCTCCCAGTGCTGTATTCTGGGCTCAACCCCTTACTCCATCCCTAACAAGTCTGGCAGCTATTTCCTTTTGTTTTTCATAAGGGTGGTTTGAGGGCATAGCCCATGCTCTTATCTTACTTCATGTCTTGAGTCACTCAGGCTTACTGTAAGAAAAACTGTAAGATGCTCAGACCTTCCACAGGAGGACTGGAAAGTGGGTGCAAATACAAATTCCTCTTTTGGCCTCTTCTGTTGATGTCCTCCTTCTGCGGTAGCAGGCACAGAGGACAAGGAAGGGTGTGTTGACTTCAGGCTACCAGAGTAAGGTTCAGGTGCCAGTCTTACCAGTGCAGACCGGTCTATCCTGAGAGGCTCCAAGCAACTCCTAACTATCCTTCCATAGCCAAAATACCTATGCAGATCGAGGTTAGATCCCCCCCAGCTATGCTACATCTGCAGTAATGACATTCCTGGAGCCAAAAATAATGGTAACATCAATAACTGCTCGAGAATTAATACCTAGAGATTCATGTGGTATATCCTGAAAACAACTTGTATATATTTAGATGCGTTCTGTTTGCCCAGAGTAAGCTGATTGTAGTGCATAACGTTGTAATCACATGCAGATTATTTAAAGTTGTTTTTTTAATTTACAGAGTTAATGTACTGTGAAATCACTAAGTCTGACCTCCAAATCAAGTCAATTCGGTTTGGGGAGTTTCCCCATCCTCCCCCATACCTCTCTTTTCTCCCTACTGGTTGTTGGATAGTGAAGATTTTGAAGGTTAGTTAATTTTTTGAGTGACCTGACTGCTCTGTAGTAATGTATTCAAAATGTCAAATTTTTCTTTTAATTTTTAATATTTTTAAAAGAAATAAGGATAATGAAGCATTACAGAATTAGAAGAAAAACAATTTGATGATGCTTATACCAAATATGTTACCAGGATTTCCTTGTACTCCCTCTTTTAGAGAATAATTTTAATACCTCTCAATTAAATCTCGTATTTAAGCAGCAGGGTGTTTTGGCAGAAGGCAACTACCACACACTAATGAACTCTTCTAATTTGCTAAATTATTTTAAATGAATGACATTACATTTAGTTTCTAATGACAGTACATTTAACTTCTGAACAACTTTGATCAAGTCCACTTTTCGTCAGACAGCCTGCTGTGCTAAACTCTTTATTCCCAAACCCCACACAGTTATTCAGAAAAACTGTTAATCAGAACATGAAATTATTTTCTCTCTTAGAAGCACAAAGTCTACTGAAGAGAGACAATTCATCGCTTTTCTTTTACATGCCCTCTGTGCCGCATCCGGATGAGTCTTCATATTTGTTTTTTAATTGGAAGAGCTCTATTTCGCAATGTGTTACCTTTCTAAAGAACACCAACGTTTTTTGCCAGTTATATAAGCTGTCAGAGTTACAAAACTTGAGCTAAAACTTGGTTCAGTTTTTCAGTTCCTGGTTGGATTCTGTACATGCCTTGTGTAAAGTCAAAACATGAGACAAATTATTCTTGCTTCCTTTTGTACTGTGAAGCCACATCATTTGTTGAGCCTGATAGAAAGAACTAATTTAAAGTATTCCTTTTCTCTTTTGGATCACAGTACAACTGAGAAAATGAAGGCTCCAACAGAGCTTATCTTTTCAAAGGGAATATGCATTTCTATTCTCTCCTGCTACCTGATCTCCCCTAGGAGTTTGATATCTAATGCCCAAGATGTGCCATGGACATTCTGTTTCTTTGCAACACATTTTATTTATACTCCACCTACTTACACACATCTGTGTCCAAACTGGTTTTGCCTAAGAAGTAGTAACCATCAATTTCAGTTTAGGAAATACTGAGAAGCAAGAGCCCAGTTTCTGAGGTCCTCATGAAGCTATGATAACAATAACCAAGGAAAAGATTATTACTATTTTAAATTACAATTTTTTCTGCTAATCTCTCTTTCAAGAGATGCGTTCAGATATCTATCTTCAGATATCTCTTTTAATTACTTTTTACCACTCCTACAGCATATAGTTCCATCAGAAATCTTTGTTGGTCATCAGTTGTCCAAATTATCATAATATCTATTTGATGTAGTATAGGATATTTACTTTTTATCATGCGCCTTTTCTCTAACAGGCATTTAGATATGCATGACAAATATTATGGGGAAAGAATTATGTTTAGCTGACTGCTGTTCTCACCAAGGAATACATAAAACTGAATCAAGGCACTTAAAGATTCTTCTCACAAACTCACCAAGAATCCCCATTTGTCTTTGCAAAAACCCTAATGTTCATTTATCTAATGCTTTAAATTTTCTAAAACGTTTCAAACTCCATTGCTGATTATATCATATGTATTTTACATGATTATCTCTATCAGGAAAAGATATATACTCAATAACAATGATTTGAATACTATTTGAAGATAGCAATGATTAGCATCTTACCAAGACAGACTGTCTTCTGTCATTGTTTCTAAGTGTTACAGGGAAGTAGGTTTACAACTGAATAAAGCTTGGTGACATGACAAAAACCTCCATCTAACATTCAGTAGAGGAGAGGCGATTTAGTCTAGCTGTATTTTTTTGTTTGGCATTGATACAAAGTCTCCCAGTAGCTTGAGCTCTGAGCTTCCCACTGTATGTTCCCTGTGGTTAAAACCACACCTTTCAAAAGCATAATATGCATGTGGAAATCACGTTAGAAAGCCACACAGAATCAACAGTTGGCTTCAATGAGCTTTTCTGTCTCCCAGTAAAATTTCTGCTTTCATAGCACATCCCAACTGTTGACTGAAGTCAACCTGAAGCTGTTGCAACAAAACTCAGCTTTACAAAATCCTCTGTAAAAGTGCCACCAATTTCGTGCATTTCTTTGGCTTTACATCTTCTAAAGTAATTAAATGTACTACCCTTAAAACAAAACCAATTGAATAGTTAAAAAGATAGCCATGTGGTGATAAACTTAGCCTAAGCAGAAACAATTTCTTTTTTATGAGTTGGAAAATCTGAAAAGTATGCAAGGCCAGCTAGCTACCACATCATGAAATCCGCCTCTGTACAACACTAAAATTGCACTGGTTAAAGACAGAAATTTTAAAAACCCCCTGGGAGTGTTTAGATCTGGACTGAGTCTTGCCTTAGTCTTCAAACAGCATCACTGCAAAAAACCATGCTGAGCTTTTAGCCTCTTACCATGCCTCCAGCCAGCTCCTGGTGGTTGCACCAGCACATGTCCTTGTGTCTGCAGATGGTCTTTCTGCCTTCTCTGGACTTGCTCCCTCTAGGTATGCTAACCTATTGCTCAGAAACCCCCAGAGCATCCTTCCAGGGGTAGGGAAGACCATATGGTAAGACATACGGTCCCCGTGAGGCCTCCTTATGTCCTGGTTGTGCAAGTTGCTGGAGCGCGAGACTGAAGGCCAAGTGTCATAGACATCTCTGTGTCACAGCAACACCATCCTGTCAAGTGTTGCTCTGCGTATGAGAGGAAATGCAGAAAACAAACCAAAACCCAAACTCCCTCCTGTCATCTGCCATAAGAAAGGGAAGCCATTTAAAAATTTTGTTCTGTGAAGATAAAATATCAGAGGTCTTTAGTTTTAAAACTTTAAGATGGAGTTTTCATGAGTGAAAGGAGAAAGGGATTCAGTTTCCCTGGAAGACCATGGAGAGGGGACCACTCAGCTCTAGGAAACCCCAGGCCTGATACCTCCCTCTGAATTTGTGTGAAGACAGCAGCTTAATTTAGAAAACTAAAGAGTACAGCCATGCTGGAATGTAAACGCTGTCAAAAGAAGGGAGTCTCACAGAAGTTACCAAAGAGGTATTTCATACAGTGTCCACAGGGCTCCTCTAATTCCTGCCATTTGCAGTTCAGCATTGCTATATTTACTTTAAACTGTTATGTTTGAAATGATCCTGGAGAACCTTCCTCGGTGACCTTGTTCCCTGTGGCTCTTCTGTTTCCCTGCACTGCACTGCAGGGCTGTCCCATGTGGGACTGGCTGGTTCTCCACTACCTGTCCCACCACCCACACACAGGGAGGAGCAAGAGGCAAAATAAGCACCCAGCAGTAAGGGGAAATTTCTTGTCCTGTATATATTTAATCCATTGTGCATGCCAGACAATAATTTGACCCCTAAATAGAGTGACTGAATTGGTTTGTTTGTTTTAAATGAGCTGCTAGGAGTCATGGGGAACCATACGTATCGATTCAGTATGTTAAATCTTAGGCATTATATGGATAAAAATTCTGGATGAGTTAACTTCAATAGAGGTTAAAATAATGGATGGATTTTTTTATGATCTAAAGTTGTAGTCCACTGCTTCAGCTCTATTACATTATGTTATGAGCTGTTATTTTTTTTTAAATCAGGTTTTCCTTCTCAATATGTCCCTAAAGAAAAGTTGTTCTGAAAGTGCCGAGTTTATTCAAGGTTGCCAGCATTTCAGTTTGACAGTTTCAGTGGGGCATATAAATCTCTAAACAGCAAAGGAGTAAATGGAAATCTTGGGTTAGTTTAGTTCTTGGATTGGCACAATTTCCTTTTTCTAAAATTCTGTAGATGAAAAGAAATTTTAAAACACTTTAAAAATACCTGCTGTTTCAGTTACACTGCTGTTCCTTGATTTAAATCTAATGCATAGGAACCTGATTTGCTATCTCGGACAATGCACTACACTTCTTGGAAAGAATCCCATGCAGAAAGACTGTAACTCATAAAATTTATGATCTCTAAACTCTGGACATTATTTGTAAGGTTTTTTTATTGTTAGCCTAATGCTAAACAGTTTGACTACAGTGCTTTATTGCCTAAGCTACAAGTGAAAATTCTAAGCACATGCCTACTTTTTTTTTAATGTTTTGTGTGCTAATACAGTACTTCAAACTTTAATTTAGTGTAAGAATGTTCTTTCGGTGTTTGCAGTAGAAAATTGACTTACAAAAAATCTACAAATGTAATAAAACAACCATAAACATAGGAGGTGTTAGTTCTTAATGTTTCCTATGCTGTGGGAGATGGTAGGCAACACTTCATGTATCATAAATCATCTCTCTACAGCTGCTTTTTTCTTTACATAGGTGAAGATGTCAAACCATTTACTCCTGAGAAAACCAAGGAAATTGTGATGTCTCTACAGCAGCCCGCAGTCTTCTGTAACATGGTTGGTGACTGGCCAGCCCTGCACTGGAATGCAAAATACCTTTCTGCAGTTTTGGATGGAAAGATGATCCAGTTTAGGCTAGGTCTGAAGATGGTGGATTTAGGTGAGACTGAGGTAGACATTACATGTCACAACTCTCTTTTTTACGTTCTGCAATCCTCTGCCTCTCTATTATCATTGTTCACTCTCTAATACATTACTTTTCACTGCAGGCTTTGGTTTTAGGACATGGGATTTGGCCAACAGTGGAACTCACCTTTCTCTTTCTTGTGTGTTTATTCTTAGTAGCAAGTATGGTGGGTAACACTAACATATAAGAATCATGCACCTCAGTTTTCTTTCATTGCTTTGTAGTGTGTGTGTGTGTGTGTGGTCCTGGTCTTTTACATAATTTGGTTGTTCATATAAGCTGAGCTTCCATATCCACAAACCTGAATGTGTTAAAGAATTAAACAGTTAACCAGTGTGTCTTGGGTTTTTTATCTGTAAAGTGATGATAATTCTCACCTTCCTCCAGAGGTTTTATAAAACAGTGGTGGTTTTCAATACTTTAAGGTCCTGTGATGAAAGATGCTATAGAAGTATAAAGCATTAAGAAAATCACTTGAAACCAGGACAATAATTTCACCTCTAACCCTCCAGATTCATTCAGACATCTAGGAATGTGCTGTGGGAGAGGACAATTTTTGCACTTGACTTTAAATACTACAGATTCATTTCTCTCTGTAGCCACACAGTACTAGTCATATTCTATCCATGGACAGATAGAGTTTCATAGCAGGGAGGGAAGATTCAGGAAGTGTGCTCCAAGGTGGCAATCTGCTAGCCACTGCAGAGGTTATGCATTGTTTTATTTGTGCCCTGTACATCCTTTGCCCTCCCAACCACATACCAAAATACATTTTGCCATGCACTTTCTCCCTTTTGTCTAAAGTATCTTGTCTCCCTTCAATCTTGGGTTTTTCCTATGCCAGACAAACCCAGTTCTTAAAAAATGTTCTATTTAAGTCATGGTTTTTTAGGCTCCACCTAGCTAGTCTTTCTCTACTCTTCTAACCTTCTTCATCTGGACTACCTCTTTCTTAGACTGTAGGGTCTGCACAAAGACTCCGGATGAGAGTCTGTTAGTTCCTATGGAAGTGGTAGGATTACATCACATTATCTTACTTAACAACACTGTGTGAAATTTACTTTCTTCACAGCATCATGACCATATTATTTCACATTCAATTTTTGCAAGAGAAGTGATGAAACAGAAAGAAGTGTTAGAGGGAAAGTGCTTGGAATTTTAGGATTTCAAAGCATTTTACTAGCAAGGATTAATGATTCCTATGCCATTCCTGGGAAAACAGATGTTATATTTATTCTATTTCTAGTTATTTCTACAGACAGGGTGACTGAGGTCTAGAATTAATACATTGGTGCATATCTTCACAGCAATATCTCTGTTGTTCAATGAGGTATCAGCCAGTTCTTGCACTACATGCAAAAGGCATCCCATTGCCAGTAGGGAAGATGTTGCATATATATATATGACATTTTCCTTGATACCTTGTTAATATATCTCAGTTGTAATATGCAAGGCTTACCAGATAAAGGAATAGTTTTGGTCCTAGTCTCCATTCATTTGTAGGCACTTTTTGAGAGCCAAATGGGTATGCCAACTGGGAAAGCTTCTGATGGGACTGATGGAGTGTTATGTAGCTAAGTGATGGATTGATGCTACCAACTAAGTAGATAAGAGTCATCACTTAACAATAACTCGTAGTCACTAGGGATATAGAGTGGATTTAAATTGGAATTTGTATCTTGAAGTTGCATCTATCTGTATTTTGCTTTTTCCTAAAGGCATCAGTCCCTAGGCAGCAATCAGTTTGTCTCCAGGAACCTCCATTATATGCTAATGTGAGCTAGAAATGTCTTCAAGAAGATGGGTAGAGCCTTCAGGGGTTATATTGTAACTGAATGAGACCTGGGATGCTATAAAAAATTTGCATTGTAAGGATATATTAGTGAAGCCATTAGCCAAGCCATCTCAGAGTCTGAAATAATGTAATACATTTCTGTGCCACTGTCATTTGGAAGATGGTTGATCTCACTCTTGCATGCTTAACATTGTTTTTCAATGAGGGCCTCTCCTATCATTGTTCACAGTAACTTTCCCAGATGAAATAGAGGCAGTGATGTGGTAAGAGAAAGCAACAGGAGAATACAACTAAAATTGTATTGATCTCCCTGAATATTCCTCCCATATTTACAATAGATGAATTGCCTTAAGACTAGATGGGACCACTCCTGCCAATGAGTTGGAAACATGTACAAGAAAGAAACTGTTCTCCTGCTTGTAGGTATATTTTGGTGTCACTCTGAAATGGCTGCTTCAGTTTTAAGCCATGAGTTTCATCTGGAAGATCCAAAATGGTTTGAGACCTCTTACTATTGACTTATCTTTCTTTAGTGCCACATGTGCAGCCTGGGTGGAGATTTCCAAACTGAAGATTTCCTTAATGAAGTGAGAACTGCAAATGGGGCAACTTGGTGGGAGTTGTATTTGCTTTTCTTGTTAGTTTGGAACTTCCTGAGGCACATCTGAAACATGGAAAACGTGGGAGCTAGCAGTGTTATTTGTGTGAATTATTTGTGCCTACCTAGGTTTGTGTGTTTGGTAATATTCTGTCTGATTACACAAGTTAAACAGTATGTGCCCATAAGAGGGGAAGAAATATAATCAGAGGATTAAGCATTGACAGAGATAAGATACCTCCAGAGAGAGTACCAGTGTTCATTACAAGAACAATGAAGGTGCTATTAATCAGGAAATCCCTACTCATCTAGTTCCAGCCATGCTAAAAGATTTTTTTTCTGAGGTGGGATAAAGGGTGGGCAGCAGGTATGGAAATTGAGTTTCTGGCAGAGCATTTTAGCCCATCTATCTGATAACTACCTGGAGCACAGCAGCAATTGCAGAGGAGGAAAACGTACAAAAACTGACTTCCGTATGCAGACATTTCTTATTTTGACCATTTGTGTATTAAAATGAATAAACAGTGAGTTTACTGTGAAGAAGCAGTAGAGAGTGAGAGGTTTTCATGCTGATCAGTTATGAGTCACAAGATCTCTGGAGGAAATTTCTCTTAGAGATGCTGGATAGAGCTGATGCTGCAGATAGGCAGTTGAATAGAAAAGGGCTGCAACTTGGACATCTGCCCAAGAGATTTTACCACTAAGGACAGCAAAAGAATTCAAGCCTCAAGTTTGATATAGAGGGGGACTGCAAAGGTGGTTGTAGACTCAGCAGCTGAATAGGAGGCTGAAAATGCAGTACAGATACTGTACACTGAATAAATGTCGCATAAAGCTGGGCTTCGAGGTGGTTGTTGGAGATGGATGTGGACGGCCAGCTTTTTGGTTTGTGAGTGTGCCTGTGGTTTATTATCATATTAAATGGCTATTCCTTGCTTGGATTATTTATTTAAATAATTTTAATTCCCTAGCAGCTGTGAATAGACATTTGGTTTTCTTTTTAAGTTAAAGAAATAAAGGGGACATTTCACTTGTATTCTTTCTGGAGCTTCAGTGTATTTTCTAAGGCTATTATCCATTTTTTCTACATTTCTTTTAGTATACATTGCAAACACTGTCTTTCCGAGTAGAACAGAATTTGGGGTCTGTCAGGACCAGACCTTAACTAAGGAGGGGAGCTGCTTCCTCCAAAAAAGCTTCTTCCCTCTCTCCCTTCCCTCTGGTTTCAATCTGTGGTATTAGGTGGAAAGAGGAGCACTGTCACGCCTTCATATACCATGTCATCAGCCAGCACTGGTAGCTGACTTCAGACTTATGTGGCTTAATCTAAAATTTATCAGTTGCAAAACACCTTCAGCTTTTAGTCATGAAGTGTTTGCGAACTGGTTAATAATGTTCTTGCTTTCAACTGCCCATTGCTAACATTTTCACCATAGTTGCAGTCTACAGATCCGTCTAAGCAGTCTGTCTAGATTGCCCAAAATATGTTTTTTATTACTATTCATTTTTCCATAAGCACCACACCTTGGTATTGAACAAGTTATAAATTAAACGAAGAACTCTTTGCTGAGGAGATTGTATCCTAGAAAATAGTCTTGTCTTTCATAGTTGGATTTTTTTAAATGAAGCTCAGAGTGAAATACACTGTAAGGTAGAAAGAGCATATTTATTGCATTTAAAACACTTGCTCCTGAGTTATCTTGGAGAACAGGCAATGTCCTAAACACTCTTTGTTCTCATCAAAATAATACAGATATTGAGCCACCTTCAGTAGTGCTTGTATCTTTTGTCTAATTTTTCCATCAGACCATCTTTTAGTAAAATGATGTGCGTTACATTAATGACTGGGTATTGGGAGAGGACACTGAACTGCAAAGACAGATAGGGAATCATATATAGGGGGGGTTGGTTATTGCAGGTGATTTATATGTCTTGTATGCAGTTCTTATGTAGGGAGCTCTTCTACTGCACAGATTATGGATTGCTGAATAGCATTTTTAGTTAATGAATCTGATAGTGAGGGGAAGGAAACCCACTACCTAGGCTACTACAATGGAAAATGGCAAAAAGATCGTGATAAAGGTTTGTAAAAGCTATTCTCCCACCCAAAGTAAGAACAAATGTATGAGATTCCATGGGAATTGCTGTGATAACAAAATGAAAGCAGTAAATGACGAGGAGCTACTGCTGCACAACAGTGAAAGGATCCCATTTCTAAGAAGCTCCATGCAAGTTACACAAGGTTAAATTGCAGCTCTGTCATTGTCATTCATGCAGGCTGCAGTATTTTTTTCCCAGTAGTAGTTACAGTAAAGTAATATAATTTTTTTAACATTGGATGAGTCTCTTTGAAGCAGGCACAATTAGTGGCTGTGGGAAAGGAAGATCTTTGATTAACCACAATCACGGTATCCTGTGATGTGGGTTATCTTGTAGGCCTTCCAGAAGTGACCTGACCTTGAGCTGAAAGGCTCTATCAGTCAGGCTGACCAAAGCATGACAGGAGCAAAACACTGCTGGTAAATACTTTTTATGTCTGCCAAGGAACACCACACTATGCTTTTGTCAGTCCCAAATGAAAAATAAGGACACACAGCATTTTAGATGGATCATTGGCACACATTTGGCTCCATAATTTGCTTCCTATGCATTACTGTGCTGATTTGGTTATTGCTTTAGGGAAAGGGAAAGATGAACATGTCCATCCACATAAATCCACAAAGACAAAATAAAGGGTATGCAAATACTTGTGTGCACATTTGCAGCTTACACTTGAGAAGTGAAGCAAAGAGCAGGCTCTCTGTTGCTTAGGGATCTTGGGTGTATTATTGAGTTACTGTGCTGAAGGATGCCTTGCACATGAAGAACAGTAACTATTGGTGTGCTTTTACCTCACAGCAAGTTCAAGGTAACAGCCATTCACTCAAACTTTAATGAAAAAGCAATAGTCTCAGACTTTAATTATGAGTTAAGAGATGAGAACCATTTTATTGACCAGAGTCAAGTCACCTAGTTCATATCTCATGTTGCTTTTAACCAGAGCTGAGAGAGAAAGTATGTATTATTTTTACTGTTTCTGTGCTCAGTGCTCATGTAATATTTGGCTTTTCTTTTGTTGCTCTAGTTCCCCAGTTTGAAACCAGGTGTAGCTACGTGATGGCTACACTTGAAGAGTTTTTGGCTTGGAGTTGTGGGCAGCCTTCTTGCCTCTCTGGACCATTCAGTTGTTACGAGTACTCCAAATACTGGGCTTACGCTGACTACAAATACATTGCCAGGATATTTGAAGACAAGCCAGAAATTTTCCAGGTAAAACATTAATATTATCTTTTCCAAGTTTAATTATTTTAGATTACCTAGTGTAGCTTCTGAAACCTCTACTGGTATCCCCTCTGTGCTCCTTTGGCCATTTGTTTTAAAATTTTTAAATAAAAGCTATTTGCTTTCAGGTTAATGGAGAACTAGTACCAAGTGGCAGCCATCTAAAGTTCTTTGTTCTCCTTTATGTGTTTAAAAACACCACCACAAGTGAAAAAACATAATTAGCAGATTGGCAGCACTCCCTTTCCCATTTAGCCCAGCATCATTTTGTGACTGGACAGGCTTGGGGAGCACTGAGTCATGTGCATGACCTCTGCAGCTGAACACCTTCCTTGCACCTCTGCTGAAGGTTTGGAAGTGAGGTGGGAATAGGGTATGGTGATGACAGGCAGCTGGCAGGCCTGGCATGTTGCAGACTTGATACCCTGATCCACCTTGTACCCGTATGGTGCCTGAATTAACAGCTTCACTCAGGAGAACATGGATTCACTTGCAGCAACAAGGCAGTAACATGGTTTCCACTCCCTGCTTTGCCTTGTGACTCATTTTCTCAAGTAGCACAGTTCCTTCCCTTAATATATTTAGATTAACTATGTGCAAGGAGGAGAGATTCTGAGTCTATGGGATTATTATACCTTGATTGTCTGTGGAGGCAGTAAAATACATGAAGTAACCTGTCCGTGGAAGTGCATAATCTATGGTAATTTCCCAATGTAGGTATTAGGACACCTACCTAGGATATCTTTTCCTTTCTCCGTGTCTGTCTGCTATTTCAATGTATTGGTTCATCTACATTCCTGCTAATTATTGCAAATTGTAAGAGGGCAAAATTAAGGATAGCTGTACAAAACATGGGGTTTTTTTCAAATATATATAGAAAGAGTAGTAAATGAAATCTTACTCATTTCTCTACTTTGAGATGTGAAGATGGAATCATAATTCCCTGAAAACATTGTATCACTGGGATGACAGATAGTACAAAATGATAAGCCCCCTCAAATTAATTATTTCCTCAGAAAGCATTTTCCGTGCTCCTTATATGTATTTTATTACTTTATACAAGTAAAATTAGTATTTTTCAGTGCTCAGTCTTTTTTCAGAGTATTTCCTTTCCCTCTGTTCTGTGGGCTGAAAGGTAAGGTTTGGGCACAGAGACCATCTTACCTTTCTTTCTCACCTCGCTTCCTAAGCACACTGAAACACGAGGATTGCATAAACTTGGGCTGCGTGACTCTGATACTGCATCATGTGATTTAAATTTGAAATTGAAAATTGGGATCTCCAGGGATGTTTCAGGCTTCTCCAGATCTTTCAGTGACTTCTTCTATCTGTGGTCCTGCCTTGATCTTCTCTCTTTCTGCCTCAACAAACAGCATTTTCCTGTGTTTTATGGGACAAGATCATAGCAGCTCAGAAGACCTGACTAGCCTGGTGCTTTATTTGGTCGATAAAAACACACTTAAAGGAAACAATTATTTTCTTACCTCCTTCTTCCCCTCGCCCCCATTCAAGAACAGAACTGAGGCTTCAGGAATTGCATTTCTGTGCAGGTGTCACACCACAACCTCATCACCTGACCTATAACAAGCAACAGATTGTACTGCACTTTTAGAATAGACAAAAGTAATGGTTATGCCGTGGATTTTTTTTAAAGCAGAATTTGGGAAGGAAAAAATTGATGGTGTTATGCAAGCAAATATGGTGTATGTCATCTGCCAGTTTCACAGGCATGGGAGTGAAATGCATCCATCACTTCCAGACTCATATGGCTTTTCAAACACTGCTACACAATTTATACCAGCCAAAAGACTTCTTCGTAGAAATTCTCTTCCATTCTTGTGTGAATTTGATGATAACCCCTTTTTTCTTTTTAGATTTTATTTAGATTTACGTAAGGTGATTTGAAGGGGAAAAGAAGGCCAACTGCACTGTTATTTATAGTGATTAATAGGGCCATTTAGAAGTTGTTTGAAATTTAGATTGCACTGTTTATCATTTACAGTTGTGTGGGCTAAGGTAATGATTCCATTATTCTAATCTATGAGCAGTATCTAGCATCTTACATTTTTTGTTCAGTTGATATTTCATTACAGAATTTGAGATATAAATCAGAAGCAAGATATATGCGTGAAGTTTAAATAGAAATGAGACCTTTTAAAGTGACATACGGGTACAGATTAACTTCATTATAAGCAGCAAATGAAATAAATATAATTCACAAGTAATGTGCCATCTGTTATGGTTGGAACACCTTTTAGTGCATTTCTTCTTACTGTGGCTTTTTATTGTAGAAAAAGAACCTACTGTGACAAGATTTCAGTAATCCTACCAGTTCCTTTTCAGTTCATTGGTTAAAAACGATTTTACCCATAATCGCTTCAACTATTTACTACAGCTACAGCATTTTCAAAAAGTTCTTTTAAATCTAATATTGATTATGTGTGCTTTCTTTCCACTTAAATTGTAACAAAATACAAAAACTATTTAGGTGTGAGATTAAAGTGTAGAGATGGTGTTACGCTTAACTTTATCACTGAAATAGTTGTATTGGATTTTAAATTTTATGGCTGCTGAAATCTATAGGAGCAACTTTTTGATTTTTTTTGCTGCCTTTGACAAATGTTTATATTACACTTCTGCATTTTTTTCAAATGATATCTTTAAAATCAATAACTCTGAAATTCAAAATCTTGAGCAACACCTAATTTTTGGGAAGGCTATCACTCATTTTGAGGGTTTCCTGAACAGACTCATGGTGAAGTCATCCTTATAATAATGTCTAGCTGTAGTTTTCCTTATCCATAGATCTTTAAAAAGTATAGTCATCCACCTGTCTGCAAGCAGCTAGCTTACATACTTAAATTAGGAGGCTATACTCCTATTTTCTCTTTATAGACAGCAGAAAGATAGGCTTTGCAAAGGTGTGATTGAGAGTGCTTTGACAAGAGCAGGAGCCAAACTTAAATTAGGTTCCTAAAGTTAGGTGATGTGAATGACCCCAAAGTGCTTTGCTGAAACGAAGCAAATACTGTTATCTTCCTTTTCAAGATGGGAAAAATAAAGCTCAGAGATGAAGTGATTTGCCTGAGGCCATCAGGAAGCCAGGAATTGAATCTCTGCTTCCTAAGGCTCAATCTGGGGCTCCAGCCAAAAGGCACTGATATCTCTGGCCAGTACTTCAAGTGCTTTCCAATAAACAAATGATCAGGCCCTGCAGGTGGCAGGGTGAGCTGTAGAAATATGAGAAACCTTTATGCAAGCTATACAGAGCCATCCTGCAAAATACTTGAACCAGCTGAAAAATACTTCACTGTCCCTCATTCCAGCTGTCATCCCCAAGGGATTGCTTGTGGGAGGATCAATGGACTGGAAAGCTCCAGGATAATGTTCATAACACGTGCATAGGTGTTCTGCTCTTTCTCACCATGTAATCAAGTTGGTTTAAGTTCACTGCCTCTGCAGTTTCAAAGGCAGGAGAAGAATGTGTCTGTTAAATAATGAAAAGCTTTAAAAAAATAGCATGCCACTGGGTCATAGATGGTATATAGTCTATGTTTCCAGAATACACAGGAAAAGCTGAGACAGGAGCAAAGACAGAGCAAATATGCTACATAGATTAGCAAATTGGTTTAAAAAGGGAATAGGGATTTTTTCTTCCTTTCATTTTTTTTAAAATGCCATATATCACAATTTTTCTAAAAGCAATCCTGAGCTTGGGTGGTTGGTTAACAGTGGAGAAAGGAAAAGAAGAATGTTTGGAAAGAAGGAAAAGAAGCCACATCTGACCATGAGCAGTTGGGCAGTCCTTCTGTAGAGCAAATGGGTAGCTTGAGTGATATGAAAGACTGGGATGAGAACTGGAGACAGAGATCTGGGAGGCTGTGTAGTCAGACAGAAAAAGAAGAAACCAGAAGAAATGATACTAGAAAGAAGAATTTTGGAGGAAGGGACATAGGCCATCCATGCAGAAACTCTACCAAGGACCAACAGCTGCCGTGGATAAAGAGTGACTGAGCAGGGGAGGGAGAAGACAAGAGACTCAGACAACTGAGGGTGGGATGTGAATCAGTTCAACAGCTGACATAAATAACCTTTTCATTACTGTAGGATATAAGGTGGTCTGACTTTGGTTTTCCTGGAAGAAGTGGAAAAGAGAGTACGCTTTGGATTGGTTCTGAAGGAGCAAACACTCCTTGCCATTTGGATTCCTACGGCTGCAACTTAGTGTTGCAAGTACAAGGAAGGTAATAAGTGCATATGCATACAGCAAATACAGAAAAAAGTTATACTGTGCTACAAAGTTAGTTTTGGACTCTTGAGTATTAATTCTGGGCCCTGATTATTTTAGTTTCTTGAGCTCTCAGTGACTGAAGAGTACCAGAACTGTTATATAGGAAATAGCAGAACTTCAGGGGCTTGGAGTTTGACTGGGGCATGGAGGTAACAATTTTATTTTCTTCTGTTTGAGGAAGATCTTTTTTGATCTGTTTGTTATGTGGTCCAATAATAAATATTTTAATCTTCCTAGTAGTTATGAATTCAGGAATTTGGAATTAGGAGATAAAGAGTTAAAAATAAAAAGCACAGAAACAAAATAGAAATAAAGTACTTTAGACTTTTACGATATTCTGTCACAAGAGCCTCTAATAGCCTGCTAGAATTAATTTAAAAGCAGAACATCAGGATGGGAACAGCCAGCTGTGAGCAAAGTTGAAAGGGACATTTGAGGCTCCAAACTAATTTTGGAGCATGTGGCTTTGTTGCTGTATCTTTCTACCTGTTTGCATGATGTCTTTTTTTTCCCCCCTTATGTTTTTTTCCTCCTTTCCTTGCATATTGGCCTCAGGGGGTTTTGTTATCTATTATTGCTAGAGTAATGCTAGGGCAACAAAACAAGTTGCATGCATTTTTTAGTTTTGATAGTATAGAGTGAAAGGAGTAATTTTCCAGGGGGATTTTAGTGTGATTAATTACTCCAACATTTTATAGAACAGTAAAATCATAGTGGTCTTGTGATTAAGGTGCAGGATTGGAAGTCAGGCATGCTAGCTTCTGTGCTGGGCAGTGCCATAGGTTAACTGTCTTTAAGGCCTGAGGCAAATGAATTATCATTTTATCTGTAAGAAAGGTAACTCTGTTTAGTTTTTAGGTGGGTTTTCATTCGTGTTTATGAACAGCCTTGAGATCCTTGGGTGAACATGCAGCAGGGACATTCTGGAAGCTGCCCTCAGCACTGTGCTTTGGTGCAGCCAGTCCTCTAGACTTCAGATGACATCAGTTAGCATTATGCACTGAAGTACAGACACGTGTATTTAGGAGCCAGAAATCTTGTTGAAAACCATGAGACTTACATGCCTAAATAGCTTCTAGGATCCACCTAAATACTGGGTGAACTAAATAAGTACAGTAATCTAGCAGACCTGATACCTGCCCTGCCTCTTTGGTCTCTACCTTCAGGTGTTGGACTCAAGCCAGACTTCCAGCATCACGTAGCAATTTTGCCTGCCTTCCCAAGACACTTCCTCCCCCTGTGGTAGAACAAAATTCATGTTCCTCTTAGGGAAAGAAGCCTAAAGCCTTTGCATGGCCTGAAAAGACAAAGTTGTTTTCCTCTTCAGAGCAAAACCTATAAATAGATTGCAAACTTCCACAAGCTTGTGAATCCTGTGCTTCTTCAGAGCAGAAAGATTCCCTTTTGAGACTTGCAAACAACACAGGCTTTGTAACAGAATATAAGCTTATGCTAAACTTAAATAGATTTGCCTTTGCAGGAGAGCCAGGGACAACTTCTTAGCCCTTTCTTGCTATCTTGTATTTCCTCCTTTCATCCCTGGGGCTTCTTAATTTTTTGCTTCCTGATACTGCTTTGTCATGAGCCTGCAGGATTAACCCATAAGCCTCCTAACCTAGTTACTCTCTGCCCCTTCAGAGAGTCTAGCTTGGAGGGCAAAATAAAGTTGAAGGCGGGCTTGGCTTTCAGGAGAACTACTTTTTGTGCTTACACCCAGCGGTAGCTTTGGTAATTACCAAGAAATGTCAGCGGCCTGTGGCACTTCCATCTGTGCCGATCTCTGCAGTTCTGGCTATCTTGCTATTCCTGTCTCTTCTGGTTTTGTGCCATTTGGTCACTTTTCTCCCATTTTCAGATCTGTGACTTAGAACTGACAACCAGAAGCAGTAGGCAGAAAGCAAGAAATGAGTACCAAGGAAAGGGACAAAAAGAAGAGATCTCGCTAGAGTCTGAAATAAAGAGGAGGACTGCACAAGTTGTACAACTGTGCTGTAAAGTACTGCCTTTACTTTTCAATTGCTCAGTGCATGGGTCATTATTGGTACTGATTGTCTGGCACCTCTTAAATGTAATATTCTCTTTGTGTATTCCTTTCTGGTTATTTCCATCACCTAAAGTACTGCCATATAAAACTCCTATTTCTAAATAACATATGTACCTGCTAAGATATTTCATTTGTAGTACCCATAAAACTGGCACCACCAGTTCTGGCATATTCTTTTTTCTCTCTATGTAAGTGAAATAGAGACATTAGCTTCTGAGGATGAGATCTGTGTCTCAGCTCTGCTTGGCCCTGCACTATGGTGTGTTGATCTGCTTCTTTGGGCACATAGAGAGCAACCTGAAACATGAGTGCCCTCATGTGCAGAACAACCCTGTCCTTCTCCACCTGGGCATTTAGTCACGACAGTTAAGTTTTAAACTCAGCCCATGCAAGCCACATTTTTGTCATGTGGTACTGATAACACAAAAAAAAACCCCAACAGGTGTTTCAGGATGCTTATGTCTGTGGATGTCTCTATGTTATTTATGCCATCTTTGGCACAGGAGCATCAAGGTGAGTTTTACTAAGAGTGAGGATGTTGTGACTAACAGCCAAATAAGTACTAAAGGTGATGATAGGAAAGAGAAGGTCATGTCCATACTCCTTTACTGTTGCCATCCTAAACACAGGATGCCTTTCTTCTTAAATAAGCATAGGTGTGGAAGCTATTCATTCAGTGAACGAAAAGTGCTTTGTCTCTAACAAAATATTCCCCTGGTATATAGAACAGTTTTTAATGCTCTGAGCATCTGTAAATGCTGTGTGTTACTCTGTAAAAGGGAAGAAGGAGGAACCAGATGGGAGAGCTTTTTTTTAAATTTTATTTTATCTGCCTTTTAAAAATAATTGGTGAGAAGCTGCAAATCTTTTCAGTTAAAAAATTTAAAAAGTGGAATATTTTAAAAACACTTTTAGGAGACAGCCTGTAAGCACTGCCTGTGTTCTCACTGCGTAGGAGATTCACACAGCAAGGCAGATTTATGTTTTATTGAAAACCTTGCTACTGCCTTTAGTTCTTTGCTGTAACTGACATGCACTGAATACATTTTTATCTTCTCTCTATTTTCAGGAAGAGATGGCACCTCTTCCCGCCTGGTGACACCAGTTTCCTTTATCCCACCAGGATCCCTTATGAGGAATCCAGCGTATTCAGCAAAGTCAACGTTGCCAACCCTGATCTGAAACGCTTTCCTGAGTTTAGGAACACAACAGCCCATGTCGTTACACTCAGTCCAGGACAGGTACCATTCACATACAAGCTTTACATTACTTTAAAGATTCTAGTAAATTATTTAACTGAGTAATTAAGGGCCAGGAAATCTTAACAAATGGACTGTAGAACTTCCCTCTCCCTACACTCTGCACTCAGGCTTGATACATTTCTCTCAGCACAGGAACTTTCTTTGCTCACAGTTATTTTACTAGCCTTTTTTGTATGAAAACCACAAACATTTGGAGAGTTAGTTCAGTCAGCTGCCCAATTCTCAGAGTTCTTGCAATCGCCTCCAATTTGTGTGCTTTGAAACTTTCTTGAGCAGTACTTCAACCTGCCTACTCTGAAACTAGTATGTTCCATAAAGTGTATTTGATTAATAGAAGTGTAAAGCCAGCAGAGGAACTCATATTTTGATAGTGAATAAGCTTAACCAGGGAATATTTGCCCAACTTGTTGCTTTAATATCAGAATATTGTAATGATGATACTTGCATTTAGAGGATACACCATCCAGAGGTTTCATGGCGCTTTACAAGGATATTATTAATCCTGTTTTACTGAGAAATCTCAGTTTTAAGTGCCTGGCTTACAGTCATGCAGGCAGTCAGCAGCAGTATGAGAGTAGGGCTCAGGACTCTTAATTCCTAGTCTCCTGCTGTAAATTATGTCCGTCTTTGTTTAATCAACGTGGTCTGTATTTGGAGTCTGAATTACCCTTTTTCATTTGTTCAGCAGTGCATGTCCTAGCAATGCACTCCTGCACATCTCAAACTGTCAGGCCTTTCCAAAGGAATTTTGCAATGTTCATTGTTCTGACCGCTTAAGGCAGTGGAGTTGCCACTTGTAGTACCTTTTTGTCCTTCTCCTACCAGATGATGTCACCTCTTTTGACCTGCCAGCTCAGTGAGTTGAGCAAGTGCTCCCTTGCTCCTAGCTGGCAAACCCAGCTGCCTTCAACAGTTTAAGAACAGATTTTTGCTAATCCAGCTAATTTTGAGGAGGCAGAGTGAGGAACGCTCCTCTGAACTGGTGAGATGGCAGACTGGAGCGGGATGGTAGTTTCCAACAACTGTCTGTCAACTGGGAAGAATGTGCGCTTCTGCTGGTACAATTGCAAATGGGGAATCTGTGATCAGCCTTCATTGTTTGCACTACATTATGTCCTAGTCATATTCCTAAAGCAAATGATTAGGTTTGCATTCTGCACTTTGTAATGTTGCAGTGTTCAATTGTTTAAAGCACAAAGAACTAATTTTTACTATTGATAAAAACGCCACATCTGTTCAGCACTGCATTATCTGCGATCCCCAACACTATCTCAATTTATAATCTCCTTTGGAATCATCAAGTATGGTAGTGAACATTTAATATGATCTTAATTTTAATTAGGCTTAAAGCAATTAAAAATTAAATCTTGCTAGGAATAAAGATCTTGAGCCAACTGAGTAATACAAGTCGTCTGCATTTCCATGAAGGAGATGACATTTGGATTTCTGCAGGGGAAAGTAACGTAGAGGCAGTGATGGAGCAGTGAGGTATTGCCTTCATCTGTTTTATCAGTGCCTTTTGGGTGGTGCTTTCCAGCATCACATCCCATGGCTTATGGGGCAGGTGGCTGGGGGCTGCTGCTATTTAATGGAGAGAAATGCACTAGAAGAACTCCTTTGTTAACAAGGGAGAGGATCCCTAAATAATAACAATTCTGATATGTGCTTAGCAGTGGTTTTCATCTAGAATTAATACAATTACTGCAGAATTTGCAGCCAGCTTTATTTTGAGATAAGACATAGCATCTCCACTCCTTCCCAGAAGGTATGCAGAACATTTTGGATTAGATATTTTAACAATAAAGGGTTTAGAAACAAAGACAAAGGTGTTAGGTATTCAGGAGAGTAACTGCATATAGGGTGAGTGCAGCTTTGAATATCAAAAACTTCATGTGTAAAATGCCACCTTCTGGTCGTTGTTTGCTACAAGCCATTTTTCTACATCCATTTAAGGCTTTAAAGCAGAATTCCTTCTTATAACATTGTACCAATGCACAATGCATGCTTCGATTGCATCCTTTGTGCCCTTTCACTGTATTGTTCAGAGGTGAATCTCTGTTATAAACTTAGGTAGTTAGCTGAGACTTCAGGTTTTCTAAGGTTTCATCCTTTACTTGACTGGTGACTGTGGGCTGAATTTCCACAGAGGTCTTAATGCAACTGCTGGTTATACATTATTGATCTGTTCTTGATACAAATTATGATAACATTTAGATATCTAACTTTATTTAAATAAGCATCTGAGTAGTTTTAGGGTTTGTAGCTGTACACAACTCTATCCATAAAGTTACAAGCTCATTGTATCACACAAATGTAGGGGCTCCTTTTAAATATTTGGACCTGGTCACCTGTGCAATGTTTGCAAGGCTGAGTGGTAAGTATGGAGCAGGAGGTTGACTGCTGGTGGATTTGTGCTCACTGAGCTGGGGAGTTTTCACCCAAAGCATTAGGGTTTTTTTTTGTGTGTTCATAAATTCTGCAGTATTTCTAGTAACACCTTGATTGTTTTCACAAATATACTGCTTAAAAGAGAGCAAATGGGGCAAACCACGTCTGTGTATATTCCACCCCACGCTCTGGGACAAGTGTTAAGAGAGTTAGGGTAAGATCTGCTACCCTTGACTTAAACCCATCCAGGACAGATGTCCTGTCTGCCATCAGTGGGAAGAACCTGGCACCTTTACAAGGCGATTCCTGAAGGAACATTCATCCCATCTTGTCCTTCAGTACAGGCTGCTGAAGGAGCCTACACACATAGATGCTTAACTTTTTTGATGATTAAAATTAGGGGAGATGAATCCCACCTGAAGAGGCTACAAAAAGTGAGATGCTATACAAATACAAAATCATTGATCATTCTTTCTTCTGCCCCACTTCTCACCAGCTTCTTGCTTCCTTCCTCCTTCCTAGTGTAATTGTTCTTAATCCATCATCTTAATCCATATCCATGTAACTAGACAATGGTAGGAAGATGAGAAAATGCATCTCAGCCTGTCTGAAGGTAAACACATGAGGCTCCACACATCTGCCCTGCTAATGGAGAGCAAGCACCTTGTACACTGAGATCAGGACCTATGCTGTTACAGGCTGCCCTCAGCTGTACTGCTGCCCGCTCTCCTGCTTCCTGGCCTTGTGTCCCAGGTGCAGCCTGGAGCCAGAGGGGTTGCAGTGGAGCCCTAGACACCAGAGGTGCAAGGAAAGGCCTAACTGAGCTAGTCTTAGAGGCACATCAAGTCTGAGAACGATGCTCTCTTCCAGCCTTGAAAAACATTGTCACAGTATGGGAAAAAATTATTTTTAAAAAGATTGTTTCTGCTTGCTGTCTCTCAGCATGGTCTGCTGCTCAGAAACTCTCCTCCCCTGCTTTCTGAATGTCTAAGGAAACACATCTCAAAGTCAACCTGTGTCCACAGCTGCATTTATCACTAAGTTCCTGCATGTAGCTGCAAGGTTTTCTCTTTTCTGTGCTCCTGCTGCAGTATCTGACGCACCATGGGATCCTGCTCAGCAGCCAGAGCTCTCAGCAGTGCAGGCAGACCTCTGACATCTAACACTACCCTGAGCAAGCAGAAGTCTTCAGGAAGTCAGGGAAAGATGCCTTGTATGCCACCTTTAAAGAAAAGGGGAGGGAACTTCAGATTGGGCTTGAAGTGGGGAACAACAGAACAGGCAGTCTGAATAACCAAGAAAAATATGCATACCAAAATAAAATGTTGTAGTAAGTCAGGAAATGCAGTAATTCAGATTTTTTAAAAGGCAATAAAATGTTCCAGCTCAACATATAGAAAATGCTTTTTTAAAGGAGTTGCAGTGAAAAACTCCTTTTGTTGGAAAGGAGTTTAAGTGATTTTAGTAAAGGAGAATTCAGAGATGTCTGCAGCATGATGCATAGCAGGTGGTTGATAATTCTGTTTTGGGAAAGAAAGAAATTTCATGTTGGAGACTACCGAGCTGGCCTCAAGTCACCCCATAGAGAAGGCAGACAGCCCAGCTCAACCTCTAGACACTGAACTATCATCTCCATCACAGAAGAATCAGAAAAGTCCGCTAGAAGTATACTAGAACTGGTAATGAAAACACCACTCAGCCTGCCACACACACGGAGAACTCCATGAGTGCCTAAGAAGTCAAGCAAACCAAAGGTGAAAGCTGCCAGTTCCTAACTCTACTTTTCCACCTCTTCCCTAAGCTTCCCTCAGTCCCTCACCTGGGTCCCTATGGACACAGCGTGGTGACAGCCCCATTCTTTCCAGCTCAGGGCCTTCCCCTGGGGCTGGGTCTGTGTTTCTGACATCAGTGGCCTTCCCCACGCTGTTTCAGCTGGTGGGAAGGCACCAGCTCGGGAGGGAGACAGGGTAAGAAACTTGTTCCTGGCGCCAGGGTAGCCAGGCACCACCAGGGATGGGGTATGGGCTGGGGTGGCAGCACTCTGAGTCCTCACATGGGGCTCCCACAGAGTTAACTACACATCTGTTTATTTTCTTTTCATTGCCAGGGTTGCATGCAGCTCTGGGCTTTGCTTGGGTTCCCCCACAGCCTCCCATCTTTTTCTTCCCATCACACTAGCATTCTTCGGGGCTTCCTTTTCTTGCACATTTACCCAAGTATCTTTTTCTAATGAGCAGGAATTTCTTGGTACAATATTTCACTTCAGGGTATGCTCTCTTTTTGAAGCAATTCCACCTTTGCCCTACCTTTGCACTGCATTGAGTTAATCATGTCCACTGAGAATTTAAACCTGTTCTGTTCTGTGCTGTACAAATCTTCAGCACTGCTCCACTTGCTTTCCCAAGAGTTCTCTTGGTTTCTTTTCTCCCATTACAGACCAGAATTTCACTTTATCTTTTCTGGGATTTCTGTCTTGCTTTGACTTCCTGCTGTATTTGCCTATCACTAGCCTAAATATTAAAATTATCTGATTAGTTGCTGTTTAGATCGGTATCTTCCCATCCCACAGTGCTAGATACATTCTGTAAAAAGCAGGCTAAGACAAGATTATCTCTTAGCTTGGAATAGTTCTGTCTTGCTTTTGAACTTTACATTTTCCCTGCAAAATTTTTACTGCATTTTTGTGTGTGTGTGTGTGTGTGTTATTTCATGGTGGTTTACTTAAACATTTCCTATTCAAATCTAGTTTCAAATGTAGCTAAATTTGTGCCCCATATTCATAAACATATGGAAGTCTGCTTTATTTTATTGTGGAATTCATAGTTGGGGGTGGCGGTGGTGGGTTTTTGTTTTGGGCTTTTTGTGGGAGTGTTTTGCTTCAAGTTTGCAAACCTAGAATAATACTAGTTTGTAGAGAAGTAGAATAGAATTATTCTACCTTTCTTTGCTGGATTTTTTTTTTTTTGGTCTATTGTTATTTCTGCTGCTCCCCTGCCAGCTGGATTTTTTGTTTTTAATTACTTTTTTTTTTTTTTCCCATTTCTTTGTCTTCCTTAAAGTTTTAGTCCTTTTGCTTTTTGATAATTTTAATTTTCTTGCTGCTATAAATCGTTATTTTAAGAAGCATAAGCTTAACCAAAAATAAAAGAGGGAGAACAAGTGTCTTTATGGTACCTGTTTTGCCTCTGAGTCAGTCTGTAGTGCCTCTATAAATTGTGTCAGCAAACAGTGCCAGCTGCAGAAATACACAACTTTGCAGTTATTAGCCTTAGCCTGCTGGCATGTAAAATCTGATTAGTCTCTGCAAAGTCCAAGTTCCTCCTCTTTGGTTTGAAAAGGCTGGACTAGTTGGGGGGGGGGATTGTATTTCCCTCCTAGTTATACTACTTCTTTGCAAAGCAATTCTGTCTCTGCTTAGCATGCAAGTTGTGTTGAGCCAGCATGTTCCATTCCTAATTTCCATCTTGGTTTTCCAGGCAGACCCTCTTACTGAAACATTTATACACTTCCCGTAATTTGCCTCTTGCTTTTGTTCCCTTGCTACATAGTCCCTCTGCACCATACGCCAATTCCCTAGTGCCTTCATCCATTTCTCCAGCATGTTACAAGCTCACTCTGCCTACGCAAGTCTCACAGTAAGGACCCCGTTGTTGGAAAGAGCTACTTACTCCAGAAGCTGTGCCTTCTTCTGCTGTATAACAGTTTTCCAGGCTTCATCATTATAACCTGTCATTTGGAGGGCACCCAGATTCTTTAGCACAGTTCAGTGTAAGATCCCCTATAGAGCAGATGAGTGTTCAGTTTTTTGGTACAATTCTGCAGTCAGTGAAATGTGGGCAAACACTTGCTAACAGATAAACCCATTGCAGCTAATGCAACTGCACTTTTCATTTAAAGTGTAGGTTTCTGTGATACAAGCACCACTCTGAAACTTGTTCAGTGTAGAAAATGTGTTTTGGCTTCAGTCAGTGCAGGGTTTTGTACACTTCTAGATGTCAGGAATAACTAATTGGTGATATTTTTTAAATAATGGCCCTCCACAGACTGACTTCCTTCTCTGTTTTGTATGCTGTACTGGATTAAAGTACAATTTCCAAATGTTTTTGACCTTTAGAGAGCCAGTGCTTTTTTGTTTGACTTAAATTGAAACCTGTGGAGAACATTTTGTCCTCTGGCCCAAAAATTACTCTGCTCTGATTGTCCTGTGTTTGCAGGACTACGGCCACAGTCATTGTCTCCTACACAGACATTTTCTCATTAGCCGGTTTGATATAATGAAGCACAGGACTATCTAGGTAGCAGAACATTCTTAAGTAATTTGTGTCTACCAAGAAAAAGAATTGTCTGCAATTCAGATACAGATCATTGTTTCACTTTCCCCATTCTGAAGTGTATGTGTTTATCTGTCTCTGACCATTTGTATTCCTTGTCAAAAAATGTCTTTTATGCTTTTCTTGATAGCTCCATGTTATTCTAATGTTCAGTAATCTGTAAATCTTGTCCTATATAATCAAAACAACATTAATGTCTTTGTACCATAAAAGCCATGGGTTAGAATCAATTTTGTGTCACAGCTATCATCCTGATACAGTTGTGGAGCTGTGATCTAAACGACACTTGTGATTTCTGGGACACCTTCTTTTAAAAGCCTATCTACTAAAAGTGACAAGTTTAATACTGGTGATTATTTACCAGAATTAAAGCTACATATTGTTAATCACCTAGATGAGCATTAGGATACCTGCTTTTTGGGGAAGCCAGCTGGCAGTCCTTCTAAAGGAACTGGGAAGTCTGCTCAGTTGGAAAGTCTACAAAGCCGTTCTTGCTTGGCTGCGACTTCCTCTAAAGCCCTGCTCTGCTACACCAGCTGCACTCCCTTTGTACAGCCAGACCTTGCTTACCGAGAGTAGCTACAAGGTTACAATCCTGCATCACATGAGAAGGATTTTGGATGAGAGGTAGTTCTGGATCATGTCCACTTCTTTCACGGGAGCATTAATACAATAGGAGGAGAGAATGGGCATTTAGGTCTTGAGAAAAGACTCTTTAAAAGAAAAAAAATAAAGATCACTTCCCCCCAAGCCCCTGTTCCTTGCCTCATTCTGCCTCTGCATCCCACATCACCTTAATTAAAACACCTTATCTTTCTTCAGGCTTCTGCTAGTACCCTAATGTGATGTCTCTGATTCCAGGTCCTGCTCGTTCCAAGGCATTGGTGGCACTATGTGGAATCCATTGATCCCATCACTGTCAGCATAAACTCTTGGATTGAACTGGTATTTTCCTTTATATGTCATAGTGATGTAGGACATCTAGGTCTGCATGGACTTTTGTCCTTTGCCTGCCAGGTTCAGCCCTATTGGGCATGCTGTGTTCAGAGGCTGAGGAGCAAAGAGCCCTCATGGATATATTTTTTCCTGAAGAACACTCCAAAGTTTCAGATCTGAAGCCCCAGTTCAACAGAAATCACATTCAAGTTTACCTCAGTTAAACACAAGCTAAACTTTTCATTTCCAATTTCTTATGAGCTAACTAGCTTTGTGCTGAATAGGGGATGACAAAACAGCAACTTCATCTCAAGCATATGCTCACATACAAAGCTAAATTAGATTTTAAATCAAATTAATATGATAGGAAGGGGGTGGCAGAGGATTTTTGAATTTTCATTTCTCTGTGAGTTTTGATTTGCCTGCCGTTGGATTTTCTCAAGTATTAATTAATTTTCTTTTCCCCAGGCTTTGATTTTTCTTGCTTCAGTTAGCCAGGATATATGGGATGGTTCCAGGGATATCATAGAATAGTTTGGTTTGGAAGGGACCTTTAAAGGTCACCTAGTCCAGCTCCCCTACAACAAGCAGGGACATCTTTAACTAGATCATCTCAATGCTTCAGAACATTTTCTGATTCAAATTAAATTCATCCTAGCTTAATGTAAAAAGAAAAAAAAACCTTTGAAATGGCCTGTGAAAGCTGCCTCACTGAAATACTTACTGCCTTTTTTAAATATAAACAACCCAACCTTTATTAGATTGGAAATCTGAAGGGGGATGAACACATGTGTTCAGCTGCTGTTCAAAGACCACATGATACGTTTCTTATACCAACATCAAACCAAGCACTTGAACTCACTTGGGTGTTTTCCTCACGGAGAAATTTTCCAGATGAGACTATGTATTTAGAAAGGACAGCAGGCCCACAGCCCATACCGAGCTCATATATAGCCCTAAGTACAGTCAGGCTGTGTCCAGTGCCAGAGAAAGCACCAACAGTATTGTAGAGCAACCATTTAAGCCTGCCTTAAATTTGAGCAGCCTTTGAGGTAATTCAGAGGAACTGGCTGTGTGCCCTGTGCTTGGAAAGGCCCTGATGTCAACACACAGACTTGTACCCTAAACCGTGCCTCTCAAATTGTCCCCCTCTGGAGAAGGTGGTCAGGATTGGATCAGTTGTGCTGCTGATTACTCCCAGGAGCCTGGATGGTGCGTTACCCTTAGCATTTCTTCCTGTTCTTAATATGCTTCAAGAAAAAAAAAAATAGTGGAACTAAACTCCATGGCTTTTTTGGTCATAAAGGTCTTGCAGAAGTCACCAAGATCCTGTTTGGGGACAGCAGGAGCAGGTCATTGTGTGGCATCATAACCAGAGGAGTGTTTGCTGGATCTTGCTAATGACTGACACACACACTCCCCCTCCCCAAATACTGAAAGCTGCCATAAACAAGTGTGGCTATTGCAACCCAGGCGAAAGTTCCTTACAGGAATTATCCCTACAGCCAATGATGGCAGCACTGTTAGGTTAGGCAATCCATCTATAAAAATAAATTCTAACATGGATGCTAAAAGACAATACTGAGAACATTTCCATTACCAAATCAAGCAGTTCTTGCTTGCAGCTGTACCAGCTGCTTTCATATTGACAGATGTGAATCATGCCAACATTTATAGTCCTAGTAAAACCATTAATTATATTGGCAAGACTTTAGAAGTTTAATTTGTTTTCAGCTGGATGTGAGCTACTCAAAGTATTTCTTGCTTCCTAACATACTCTCATGCAATCAATACAACCCGGTCATTCAGCAGGCCAGGATGAATATCAAGAGTGCAACACCTTAAATAATTTCCACATGTGGAGACCAAACTCTGTGTTTTGGGGGCTTGTTATATGAGGCCGTTAATAAACCAAGCATCCCAAGCCACAAAATGCTGAGAGCACTTCCGCCTGCTTCTATCCCAAATTCTGCTCAGGGTTCCTGAATGAATTACTGCCTTCAACACTCAAACTAGCAGGATGCATGGTTTGCTTGATATGTTCCCCGAAGCCACAATTAGGCAGTTCAGGGCTATGGGTTGACTAGGTTACATTTTTCCTCCAAAACTTGTATGTCAAAGCTTCTCAATCAAAGCAAATTTATGTATCCACTCCTAGGCACTTGTCATTGAAATAACTAAACCACCCACCTTGTTTGAAGAGTCTTACTGTCTCCTTCCACATGCCCTTCCTTCCTATATAAAAGGAACTCAGTTAAGTGGGAAAAAGCGCTAAAAAAGATCCTATAAAGTTTTGTTCTCCTGTCCTAAATGGGCTAGTATCCAGCTGCCCAAGGGAATGATGCAGGAAGTGAAGGCCTGAAACAAAGAGCCAGTTAACTTCCTTAATTTTTAGTTTTGCAGAAGAGCTTTCAGAAGAAACATGTTTTTCCCTCTGCTGATGTTTAAAACTGCAACAGTACGTCGGCTGCTGTTACATGATAAAATATTTCCTAAATGTCCTTAAGACTCACTTTTGTGCTTCTGTAGCCCCCAGTTAGTTACTGCCTTGCTGTAGCATCCTGTGTGTTGTACTTAAATTAGACATAGTATGTAGATACATAAAATTTGCCACGTACTTCCATGGTCCTTGTAGTCCTAAAAAGCTATATAAATGCATACATTAATTAAACGCTAACATTGTATTGTAATTTCATGCACCAGATTCAATTAACAGAACACTAATAAGGAAAAAGATTATATACGCACACTAGAATCTGTTTTTTGAAAATCCTTATTCAGATAAGTAGTCACACCAAAGCCTGTGCGGTTCCCCATGTGGGTAATGAGCACGCACGAGTAGGAGCATCAGAAGCCTGAACCCTTTCGCTGACTTCGCATACATGGGTATGGCTTTCAAACTAAGGCCATCCATTTAGTTTTTCCCAGGATATCCCAGCTTTCTGCAGAGACCCAAGTGCTAACCTATCTCCAACCATTTTCTGTTCCCTTGATGCAGGATGCAGATCATGAAGCCCGTATAGAAGAAGCAATAACTCGAATGCTGGTATGTGCCATAAAATCAGCAGAAAATCCCAGTGATGGAGATCTCTGGCTAAATCCCACAGAGGTAAGCCCGCTCTTGCTCCCATTATGGCAGTGATAACAGAGAGTTACTGACATTTTGCTTAGCTCCCCCTGAGTCCTTCTGCTGCTTGAGAAAAAGAATTTTAAATTCCTTCCCTTCATGTAGCAGAAGTAATTCATAGAAGATAATCACACAACGCTGAATTGAAACGTCTCTGCTTTTAACTGACTGTATCCTTGGTGTTTTCTTAGGTTGAGGCAACATCCCATGAAATCAATCTTCAATACCTGAATAAAGCAGTGTCTGAATACTTCAAGTGTCAAAAGGCAAGTGTGTCAGAGCAGACATGTTCCAGCAGCACTGGTGCAGAGCAAAGGACAAGAGCCTCATGCAAGAGGAAGAAAAAGGAAGTTGGCTGTGAACCAGAGGGCTATAGATTACTAACCCATGAATTTGCCTTTTCGACCTTTAAAGCAGAAAAGCTGCAGAAAATACCTTTTGGGCCTCATCTTATTCAAGTTTTACCACAGTCTCAAGAGGGAAGCTCGATGGGTGCAGTTGCAAGTGACACTAGAAATCTCCATGAAGATGAAGGAGGACATTTTGGAAAATTACACAGTGCCAGGAAGCAATTGGTAATGAGTAACGAGTGTGAAACGCCTGCACATCCAGTGGACTCAGAGGGCAGTCCAGATGCCTCACAAACAGCCCTTTCTACCAATGATTTGCTAGACTGTTTGGTTAATCCACATGTCATCAATTTAGTGGCTCGGTTGCTGTTGGAGAGAACAAGAGTTTAATGCCAGAGTGTTTTATAATTTCTGAAATAAAGAAATCAAATGGCAGCCTTGTTCTGGGTGTTTAACCCGTGTAATAATTTAATGTTTCATTTCAAATATTTTTTAGGTACAGGTAGGCACAGTTAATGGTTAAGTGGCAGATTGAAGTTGAGCTGAAAGAAGAGTAAGTGGTTAATGATGGCAGGGAAGAGAAGGGTATGTTTAGTTGGAGAGCTCCTCAGTGTTATGAGCAAAACAGAGCGTTCACAGTTACACTCCCACCACGCTGGGTGGATGGGATCTTTTAAGTGTTCTACAGCTCTGAGCTGTGAAACAAGTATGGCTTGGTAAGAGGTGGTAGGAGGGAGTTCTGGGACACACATACATAGCGGAGGGGACTGGGAGGGCAAAAAGACAGACTGTCTTAGTGTAGACTGCAGCCCTTGACGACATTTAAAGTAAAAGGGTCAATGATCAGTTGATCACATTAGAAATAGTAAGTTCAAATAAAACCTAACCTGAACCAGAAGGCAGTGCACTCACTAATGCATCTACTTCTTCCCTTCTGCAAAATAACTTCAGTTTTGTCACAAAGCTCTAGGATGGAGTGAGACAAAAGTCCTTAGCAAGCAAGTGGCCATCAGCTGTTTGAGAATCACTTGAAGCTGGGAGACAAAAGGCCATCAAGAAGTTACTGTTATGATTTATTTAAAGCCAGATGCACACAGTTCCCCGTCTCTAAGGAGCAAAACAAAGCAGTTATGACTTTCTACCTCTGTCCTACTCTTTACTGTAACAATAAAAATTTAATGATTTCTTTTTCTTGTGGTTGCAGTACGAGACCATCCTTTCTTCAAAGTACAGTAGTCCTTGGATTTGTTTTCTAAGGCTGGGTGGTCCTTTGATTAAAAGGTTATGGAACTTGAAATACAAGCAAGAAGGTGGGTTAACACTGAAGCTATGCATGGAGGCTTGGAAAGAAACTGGAAAGAAGCTTCTGACATCTGGGATGCTCTCGCCTCCTCTGCCTTTTTGCAGTAGCAACAGCAAATGGCATTTGCCCTAGTGATGGCTTCAGAAGGGCTCTTCTGGGACAGCTCCTGTGAAGCCTTTGCTTTCAAAACTTACCTTTCCTCATATCTACTAGAACCTATAAACCAGTTTCTATTGTTAACCTGTTTCCACATTCATAACTGCACACTGTCAGCCCTCCAGCTGATACTTCCTTTGCCTGGTGCCTGCTAAATCTATGAAGCCAGTGCTGTTTCCACAGAGATCACCTTCCAGCAATTTATAGTTCAAAAATCACAATGGCAAAGGTGCTTTTATACTGATTGCATGTTGGCCAGTCCCTGATGAATGATGGTAAGTGCTCTAGGTATGCACCAACAGGTCCAGGAAACTTTGCAATTTAAAAAAAAAAACCAACACCAGAACCAAAAAACCCCTGATCCACTTGGAAGAGGATTAAATTGAAAATGCTCAAAAGTTCACAATTAACAAGCACAGAAACCTTACCCAGACAGGTCCTTTTAGGTGTGGTTACTTCAGCTACTGGATGGGGCAGGATTTAGCTCTCATTCCTCTGGCTGGCTGGGAGGGAAAGAGGAAACAAAGTTGTACGTGCAGCTTGCTGCAGACCTGGGCTTTGAAAAGTGACTGAGAGTTAGTAGTAGGGGCCATTATCAGCTCTGTCTGACCCAGAAACGTGGAGTTTCAACTGTCCTGCTCTACCCCCATAACGGCTCAGACCTGATGACACCTACTTATCTCAGCAGCAACCTGCAGGCGAGATCCGATTCTCAGCAGCACGTGAGAAAGTTCACTTTTCTCAGTTTATGTTAATACACCAAAGCGTCTCAGCAGGGCTGCGCCACTGCGACAAGACCAGAATTTAATAAACAGTCCCGTTGATACACTTCATGTGTGTGTGTTGGCACTGCTGTGCCAAAAGGATTAAAAATTAGTTAGGAAACATCTTAGTCACATCTGCTGCCTTTAGCGATTCCCCAGGCTCCTAGGGAACAGGTTGGTGGAACAAGGCAGCCCTGTTTCCTTCTGTGGGTGCATCTCAGTGGAGCTGGGCTTTACTGACAGCCTGCTTTTGTCCTGTGCTGCACTTGTCTCCTTGCCCAGGCTGACCAGAGGGGCTGGGACCAGCCAGAGCACTGATGCTGGGAGCATGGGCACTGGGGAAGAAGGGTTGCAAGTGCTTCGTTTTAATTCACTGAGCAAAAATAGTCTTGTAATAAAAAGGCTTTTATATCTACAGCAGATATAGGTGGAGGAGGAAAAGCATGGGCAGTGAAGTGGAGGAGGTAGGCAACACCACCCCCTTCCAGTCCCCACAACATGAACCTCCTTAGCTAAAGCTTTCCTCCCAACACAGAGATCATCTTAACACACCCCTCACGACATCTACGCTGAACGTTTCCTCCCTTTCTACTCAGAGTAACTGTCCTTGAAAAGGCTCGCTGCATGTTTCAGAGGTCTTTGCAAGACTGGCCCCCACGGGCAGAGGGCCGGTGCCCACGTCAGAGGGCCCGTCTCGGACTCAGCGTAGGAGCAGCCGCTCTCACACAGCTGAGCCACGTGTGCTCAGAGCTGCATCACTCACTGCTCTGAACAAATACCCTCTGTCTGGGGACAGGCCCAGTTTATGCCTGTCCAGGGGCAGCCCATGATTTAAGGGCCAGGCTGTGGCCAGGAGCCATTAGCAAAGGGGACAGGGAGGAGGACAAGCGAGGCTGTTTAGGATGCTAGGCAAAAGCACCAGAAGGACTTTGTGTCTCAGAGGTGCAATATAAAATCTCAGTCATACACTCAGCACACGGGGGTAGAGAGAGAAACGACCACAAATTCAGAAAGTCACGTATGGCAAATGGCTCACACACCAATAAGAGAAATTTATAGCTCTGACTCGATTCGCAGGATACCAAATGCCGTGATTTCTGATGCCATTTCTAAATTCATGGCCACTGCATGGAGAAGCTCAGACAAGTTTCTACATATTCATAGTGTTAAAAATAAATGTTTTCTGACCTCCCTGGTGACAGCATGACTCAAAGAAGAGCAGAAACCCACCCCCTAGCCCTCTGCAACCACTAAGAGAAAACTCTTTCCCCCCCAAGACAGAGTATTTCATACTCCCTGTCAGCAGTGAACGTGGCAACAGTCGAGATGACAGCCTGGAGCCATCACCAGGGTGGTCACAGTGGTGACATGCTCAATATCTCTTCTTTAGCTGAGTGACAGTAAGAGATTGCCACTGCACAGCTTGGCGATGAAGATAAAGCCCTGTCCCAGTCCAGGGGCCAGACCAAGCAGTGGGCTGGGCCAGTGTGCTCGTCTCTCTACGCACATCCAGACCATCCCCATTGCCCGATGGAAACCCTGGGTCTTCCCTGCTCCAAAACCAGATTTACAGAGTGGTTCAAGGGCCACCCTGGTTCACCTCTCCTGGGCTGTCTGACATTGCTACTCACTGTCCCTAAGCACAGCCCTCACCTAAAGGGATATGTGCTTTGCTCGTCTGCAAAGAAAAAAACATACTCAAAAAGTCCCACCTCTAAAGAGAGCAGGAAGGGAAAACCCCAAATAGTTACATCTTCCAGAGTTCTAATCTTTCACTGAAAACCTCTCCACTGCATTTCACTAGGTACCATTTTATTTCACAGCACTATTTCCCCCCACATTTGCATCTCTTGGGACTTCTGCTCTGGCACTGATTGCTCAGTGACACAGAGCAACTCCATTGCAGAACTGTAACATATGTTATAATACAGTGTTAACTATAAATTGAAGTTTTAACTAAAAAACACAGCATATTGAAGAGGCAGAGAGAATCCTTCCACAGTACTAACTGCCTTTTACAATAAAGGCAGTGCGACATGTCAGTCCTTTTGCCAACTAGTAAGCTCCTTGCTGCGTTTCTTGGCTACAAACATGAACTGTTTAGGTGTATGGCATGGGCAGGCTTCCTCTCTGAGGGAGTTTCCTGACATTTCTGGTGTTACTACATCAGTGGCTGAGGGAGAAACACTTTTGCAAATGAGTGGCCTGGTTTTACAACTTGGTTCATCTGAACAGGTGAGGAAAAGGAGCTTAGATCTTCTGCAACATACTTTTCTGTCCTCCAGGCAAAAGAAGCTTGATCCCATAGCAAGATGGGGACAGATGTTGCCACATCAGCTGAAGGGGCAGTGGGAGGATGGCACCTCTGCATAGAGCTGTGTTTTTGGAGACATCCCAAGTGATTGCTTCACTCGACATTTATTTCTCCATCTAATTGGGGGAGTTTGTTCATCTTAATGGGATGACAATCAGCTTGGCAAAGACCACAGCGTTCAAGTCTCTAGGGAGGTCCGTAGGGCAGTGGGGACCAGGAATGGAAGGAGGATTTTGGTGCAAGTCTCCCAGAGGCCCTGGGAACACAAGCAGAAACCCAGGAGCTCTCTGACCTATGGCCCCTGTGCTGAGGGACCTGAGGAGCCTTGCAGTGGGTAAGAGTGTCCCACAAACGTTGCTTTGCAGCCAAATCTCACGTGTATTACAGCTCTCCCTGTCTTTGCATTACTGCTTACCTATATACAGGGCAGTCTGATGGAAAAGATATGGCTAGCTCCCTGCTCAGCACATACTCCAGTTTCACAGTAAATTCTAGCTCTAGGTTTTGAGGGCGCAAACTTTGCTCCTTCCAAAGTTCCAGTGAGATCGTCCCAGCAACAAGTTCTGATTCCTTGTGACGACCCATGAAAACCACTTCATAAAAGTCTGAAGCTCACATTTCAAGCACTGAAGACCCATCAAAATTTCCCTGTGCATCTTTCCAAGTCAGAAAGGCTGCTTGCAAAAAGGGTTTTCATCTCCCTGAGGGCTATTTGACTCATGTGGAGCCACTCTCTGCCCTCACTGCTGTGAGGAGGGCATCTCTGAGCTTCCATGGCAGCCAGAGGGTTAAACTTGTTCCTAAATTCCTCTCTTACCCCTGCCATGCCCCCTCCTCCTGCACCTGGGCAATGACCATCCAAAGCACCAGGCAGTAAAACACCCTTCCCATTTAACCA